TATTACTCGCACCATTTTTCCTTCATTCTTTTAACGGCAAACAACTCAAAATTCAAAGAAAGGTTCGTTTTTGAACTAAATGTATTTAATTTCAGTATTCGTTAAAGGAAAAAAGGAAACAAAAATTCGGCAAGTTCATTCTTAAAGATTAATGAACATTAACAGTTACAAATGATACAGACAATTAATAATAATAATCCATGGAGCAATTCAAGAAATACAAAAATATTGTCTTCGCATTAAAAAAAACCCAAGTATGTATTGGATGGTTTACAAATACTTGGGAAAAAATAAAGCTTGAAGTCATATGAAGTCTAAATGCGGCTTGACATCTGCTCGCCGTCATCCAGTAGGTCCATTGACATATTCTGAAAATTAAAAAAAATTTTGTTAGCAAGGTAGTAATCAAAGGTGACACTTATCAAGACATTTGACATAATCATATACTAGACGTGTTTATGGAGGTTTAAAAATTAGATTCATTATTAAGTACAAATAAATTATTTCTTCACGTACAAATACTCACAATGAAAGACCTTAAGTGTGAGTAATCTCTAATGTTGCATTTCCCAGTAAACATACAAAAATAATTGAGTCGTAAAATTCAAACCGTGTACTGTTGAACAAACTATCTACCTAAACACGTAGTGCATGTAACTAACAGAACTAGTTTTCATAGCGTTGACAATTACACGCTATTTACTGGCAGTGGTATCATACATTTAGACAGCATTCATTTAATGAAATTGTCACTTACAGCAGAGATGTTCTGGTCACTCTTCTTCTTGTCAACAGCAACCTGTGAAAAATAATTTGCGTTTATTGATATTCATACAAAGGTTTGCAGTATAGTAACTTTAATTAACCAGAAACTTTACTTACTCTTGGCCGGGTACACCTTTTGTAGACACGATCACGTACGTTGTGGAAGTAGGCCTTAGTAGTATCTCTCAAAGCTTTTATAACTTCGTCCTCGGGCATCGTAGCAGAAGCGAACTTGCTGACAATGACGGCTGAAAGAAATATTTAAATAAAGCACGCTTACACGTTATAACTTTATAGAAGTGACATTTTAAGAGAGCTAGCTTCTTCGATGTTCCGTACGCAGTGAAGCGACTTGACAGCTTAGGCTCCCATATGTAATTCAGCATTCGTTTCAATGAAGACTGCGGATTGTACGATAAATTCTCAGCCAGTTTTGTCATCTGAACGTAAATGAAGGTTAACAGTGGACTTACGAAAGAATCTCTGAATTTTGGGTTTCTCACTGAAGCTTCAAGTTGGTTAAACTCTTCTTCAGTCGTCAAGGGGAATTGCAGTTGACTATTGTCAATTGACGACTTCCCGGTTCCCAAGGTGGTGACGTCGCCCGACTTATTTAATGAGACCAACTGCCCCACCGTTTTGCTAAGGAACTGTACTTCTCCTCTAAGGGACTTCACTTCTTCTCTAAGGGACTGTAACTCAGTCACCACTTTATCATTGGAATCAGTGATTTCCTTACTGCAAAGTAACTAGTGATTAAAAATAACATACCTAGTCTGCTTATTTGGCTGTGTGATTGGTGACGACGTCGCCACTGGCATTTGTGGACTGGAAGTGCTGAAGGAATAAGAATAATAAATGAATGCGCTACCTGGCTGTTGGTGCCATCACAGTGTCCATGAAATTAGTGTCTGGGTATTTAGATGACCAACACACCTTCTGTGCCTCCACAGCTTCCAGTTCAGCGGAGTCATAAACGTAAGTGGCTTCAAAAATAACTTTAAACTACTTCAATTACCTGGTCTCACATCCTTACGTAAATTATGCACATCTGTGCTCGTCAAAATTTTATTAAAATTTTCTTCAGCATATTCCAAAACATCACCAACCTCAGATGTAGTCTTCACAACTGGTGCACTATTCTCCTTTTCATCCCCGGACAGGCGTCTAAAATATGGATCACCTATCATAAGACTTTTTTCACATCTGTGATTGTGAACTGTTTTCGCGGAAGAAATGATAAACTCGTCCTCCTTGTAGCGTATACGAAAGCCAGATTGGCAACCGATGTATTTTGCACTGCAGAAATAAATAATAGAATTCTTACGGTTTGACGCGTAAACCTGAACCTCTAGTTTTTCGCTTCATGCCATATGTACAACGAAAGACTACTAATTTGTACTTCAAATCCTGAGATTCATAGTCCCGTATGCACTTTTTGATTACATAATGTGTATGAGTTGCCTAGGAATACTCTGTCATACATATATACATATATTACTGATTCCAGCTGATTTAGAACATCTTCTACTTAAACCCAACTGGTATATCGGTGACTAAACATAATTCCGTCAAAAGATTTTTTGATATCCACTGATATAGGAAGGGCAGGTTGGTTGCCATTGTCTCCAGCTGCCAATGCGTTCATTCGGTACCACTGTAAATGAAAACAGAAGCTTTTCAATAAAAAAATTCATGAATAGCCAACAGAGTACAGCAAGCAACTTAAAAGAGACATTGACTTGGAAACTATAGCGGAAAAAATATAAATTCCTTACCACAGTTACCGTTTTGGAAAGTTCCTGATTATAGCCATAAACATTTACTGAAACACTCGTGAACGACAAATATGGACACAAGTGATGAAACGAAGCTCTGCAGAAATCATTGAGACGCCACAAACAGGAGGATTTTAGGTGCACCCTATAATTTTCACATCAAACACATTCTCAAGCATCCTCCTGCACCATAACTGCCTTCAGGCCTAGAGGCAGCTTTTGACGACTATTCTTAACAAAATCAATACAGTTCAAGCCAAACAGAAACCAGAATCACGTCAAATGCAGCTACCTAGATCAAACGAAACAAATCAGTCAAACTGAAATCAACTAGACCGCGCAAATGTCCTCAAGGTAAAGCTGGAGGCGCCACTTCAAACAGGGGATATGCCTTATCAACGCCCAATCATACCACAAGAATACATTTAACAATACTTTGTCAGTGGTCTTAGGGACAAAAATATTAGAGAGAAAAATACAGGCTAGATGAAAGTTCCGCAAAGTTGTCTCACCACTGTACAATGTATCATTCGCCAATTTTTCGTCTGCATGTGAACGTAGCCACATACTGGTATATGAAAAAGGTCGTCACTACTACCGATTTATAAGTTCCTAACTTTTTGAAAGTCCTCCAATGCGTTCGCAGCTTCTTACATATGTGCTGCTTCCGCTCGCGCTGATTACATGCTATGAAATTCTAGAAAAAGGGCTCGTTAACGGAGCACATTATTGCCACGGCTTGTCACAGCTAATTTGCAGGAGACACAGAATACTAGACTATGTGAGTTAGAAATATCGAAGTAGAAAATATTCTACTTGTAACCACAACTCAAGAAATGCACTGGGTCCCATGGTATCGTAGTCATTGATAACCACCATAATGGCTAACCAGTTTCGAGAGAGTGTACATGGAAAATTTGTAGCAGTGGACATAAATTGTATAACCGAGTAACCATTAATTTCTATAACTCGTTAACTGTTTTCTCAATGCGCTGTTTCATTAACTTAGATTTTTGATCTAATATTACCGAGCTGGCTATTAAGTCCACTACAGGCTATATTCACAACACGGCCAATCATATGGACAATTCTCTTAATCCTTTCGATGAAACTGACACAAATTCCATCGCAAGTTTCTAAATTCATTTGAAAAAGGATCAGAGAGCTGAACGAGTTAAGAAACACGATGATTTACGGTTATCAGGACATATTTATGTAAAGAAATTGGCTTGACCCAACTATGAGTAGTTCTCTCAGAAATTGAAAGGGTTTCTCGCAACAGATAGTAGGAAATCATCATATGTAACTACTTTTAACGTTGCATTGCTTTGATGTAGTCGTCTTTTTCAAGTTTGGCACTTCTGTATCTGACGCATCCGATTGGATGATAGGGATTTGTCAAGGTCATCATTGGGTAGTTTCGTTTTTGGCTGCCATGGTATACAGTGACTGTAGATAGTTAGAAGTAACCACTTGACTACTATAATGAAACCTTAATCTCCTTCTGGTAACGGAATGGGGAATTTATCAGCACAGTTTACAGTTTACAATTTATTTAGGATAGTAGTCTATATGCCTGTGTTAATCTTTTCGATTTGTTACACACAAGAGGTCCAATCTCTCCTTGAATGAATCAACGGATGGCGCTGATACGACGTGTCCCGGTAGGGAGTTCCAA